TCCTCGCTGCAAGAAGCCAGTCGGGATGTGAAGTCTCTGAAGATTGCATCTGGAGGGCACCCCGGAGTGTAACGTGGGAGAGGCAGCATTTAGGATCTGCCCATCGCCAAAGGAGAAAGGACACTGCTTGAGAAGGGAGCACGCTGCTGCTGTCTAGTGGTTTAGCACATGCTCCGAAACATGTCGCTTTGCATGCTGGTCTCTCCCACATCATCATGCTGAACCCGACGTTGCGCTCCAAGGTGCACTCCAGACGCCATCTTCAGAGACTTCACATGCCAGCAGCCAGCTTCTTGCGACATCCACAGTCTCCCTTAGCGTGGACGCAGCTATTGCAGCGAGGACTCAGCCATCACCTTACTCACCTTAGCTTTCTTACCTTTTTCACCATGTGAGTGCTTTTGCATTGCTCCCTAATAAATGTTTTGACATACTGTACTTAGAGGCGCTTTTTTCTTCCTTCATATCAGTATAGATATCCAGATATTTTTCCCCATTGAGATCTGATGTGTGATTTCAAAGTGTTCCTCCTTTATTTTTTTTGAGTAGTGTGTATATATATATATATATATATATATATATATATATATATATATATATATATATATATATAAATATAATATATATTCAGATCTTCCGCTAGTTCTGCCAGGAAGAACCTACATGTCAAACTGAAAATAAACAGATAAACTGATGTGTAAAGCGTCTTGGCGCCACTCAGAAGCGGAGTTATCAATAAAGTCACCTCACCGGCATATATAGGGGAACAGTGTCCGCAGCAAAGTCCAGGCAAACTGTGATTAGAAAGAGGAGACAGGACACCGATCTGACCACCCGTGTAATCCTGCATATGGGGGAATAGCCCTCTAAGAGGCCGTGGCTGGCGTGATGGCTGAGGCCATCCCCCATACACAGGATTACATGGGCGGTCAGAGCAGTGTCCTTTATTCTCTTTCTAATAGCAAGAAAATAAATATACACCCATAAGAATGAAGCCTCAAAATTATAAATAAAATTCGACCATCATAAGCTTCCCCCACCTGCAAGTGTTATATGGTTTGCCCAGCCCTGAAATGAACTTCTTCTGGGCAGCTTGGTCATCAAAATGAAAAGAATAATAATTAATTTACTGTCAGAATCAACAGGTTATTAAACAGGAGGTGGGTGAGGGGAGAGGTAAAAACAGACTGCACCATAAATCTAATTTCTTATTTTGCCCAGAGTTCCACTTTAACCATCTGACATCCCAAAAAAAATTGTTTGTAGTCAACGGATAAAATGAGTGTAGGTTTACCCCAGCTAAACAAAACGCATACATCTGCTGATTACTGGTCAGAAGCAGTGACAAACCTAGACCGCAGAACAAATTTAGAACCCTTCCACACCCCACCCAGAGCAGCCAGCATAAGGGTAATTTGGCACGCTCGGAGTACAGTTCACAAATCCCATTCTTCATCCTGACTGCCAACAGACAACACCCAGCCCTGTTCCTGCCAATACCACGGCTCCGAGGGGTTTACATATACCTACGGATGGCTGGAAACACGTACTGCTGCTTCATTTTTGGACATTCTGATATTTTTGGTTTCTAGAAAAGTGATCGGAGTTTTAAATTTAGAAAAAATTAAATGAATTTGAAATACGGGGTACAAGACAAAAAAAAAAAAAATGCTGTGGTTAGAAGAAAAAAAAAAAAAAAAGACAAAAAAAAAGGGGAAAAGGCTGGCACCTCTGTTAATTTTTATTGCTGTATGTCGCCCACTGGGAAGATTTCCCCTCTCAATTGTCCCGGTCCTTCAATCCCAGGCAATTCGGACTTTTATCTCCTTAAGTGTGGTCATCGGCGGCCACCCTCTTGGGCCTCCGCCCCGTTGGTGGCCACCCTCTTGGGCCTCCGCCCCGTTGGCGGCCACCCTCTTGGGCCTCCCTCCCTCGGCGGCCACCCTCTTGGGCCTCCCTCCCCCTCGGCGGCCACCCTCTTGGGCCTCCCTCCCTCGGCGGCCACCCTCTTGGGCCTCCCTCCCTCGGCGGCCACCCTCTTGGGCCTCCCTCCCTCGTCTGCCCCCCTCTTGGGCCTCCCTCCCTCGTCTGCCCCCCTCTTGGGCCTCCCTCCCTCGTCTGCCCCCCTCTTGGGCCTCCCTCCCTCGTCTGCCCCACTGGCGGCCTCCCTCCCTCGTCTGCCCCACTGGCGGCCTCCCTCCCTCGTCTGCCCCACTGGCGGCCTCCCTCCCTCGTCTGCCCCACTGGCGGCCTCCCTCCCTCGTCTGCCCCACTGGCGGCCTCCCTCCCTCGTCTGCCCCACTGGCGGCCTCCCTCCCCCTCGTCTGCCCCACTGGCGGCCTCCCTGCCCCCCTCGTCTGCCCCACTGGCGGCCTCCCTCCCTCGTCTGCCCCACTGGCGGCGGCCTCCCTCCCTCGTCTGCCGTACCGATTACTATTTGACATTTGTTCTGAAGATAGGCAGATTTCAACTTCCACCAACCTGCAATTTTAATTTAAAACAAAAAACACCTCAAACCCCACCCAGCAAAGCAATAAAGAAATCATAAAAGAAAACCCAAAAAAACTAAATTTTTTTTAATTTATTTTTTATTTTTTAACCAGAAGATGATTTTAGAATAGCTGCTCACCTGGTCAAAGAGCTGTTTGCCAGTGGTGTTCGGCTGGATGGCAAACTCCAGCTCTGCATCCATCGTGGTCACACGTACACTGATCTGTAAGAGAGAAGAAGAAAGCATTTAAAACACGGAGGAAATGCAGAAAGTCCAGTATTTATCAAATCCACAGTTTGAGTACCACCTATGGAAACTACAGTCAAGTAGACATGGCTTGTGCTGTGTGTACAATTGATATCATGCTGGGAGATGACTTAAAGGGGTCCCATCTATAAAAAATAATTTGCATAGCTCTTCATTCACCAAATCTGCCAAAATGTTCTTGAGGTTATTTTTTCTTTTAGGCTACTTTCACACTGAGGAGTTTTTGAAGCGTTTTTGCATTTAAAAAAAGTGCCTGAAAAGCTCAAGAAAAATGCTTCCCTATGTATGTGAATGTATATCTATGTATGTTTTCACACTGAGCCGTTGTGCTTGCGGTGTGGTGAAAAAAAAAAACAAAAAAAAAAAAAAAAAAAAAAAAAACCGCTGCTTAACATTGAAATCAATGGAAAACGCCTGAAAAACGCTTCTGAGAAGTGTTTTGTGGTGCAGTTTTTAAGTCACGTGTCCTTTAAAAAAATGCTCAGAAAGCTTGGCAAAAATGCCTATGAGTTTTGGCGGCAGCGGCAAAAACTTGAACGTCTTTGTAACGAGATACAATGTACCGTATTGTCCGGCGTACAAGACAACTTTTTAACCCATGAAAATCTTCTGAAAAGTCGGGGGTCGTCTTATACGCCGAGCCGGTGTCAGGGCGGCACTTCTTCGGGGGGCGGCGCGGTGCCGCCCCCCTCTTCCAACGGAAGGGACACTAAGTACAGGGGCGGGCAGGGGGCTGCTGTTTCTTGAATGGGGAAAGAACAAAAAGAGGGCGCACAGGCCTAGTGCATTACCATAAAAAATGTTTAATAAAAAATAAAGTAGATGTTGTACTCACAAACGACAATATAGTCAAGGCACATCATAGAAGAACAGCTGGATCAACACCGCGCTGAGTAACAGTCCACAATAGGGAGTTTAGACATCCAAAAGGCTGACGCGTTTCGAGGACTTGCCTCTTCCTCAGAGCCAACTGACCAAATGTCTGCTCCCTCTTTTATATGCTCACTACTAGTTAAACCAAAGGTCTATAAAAAATACATACACAATATATATATATATACACGCACAAATAAAACCATTGAAACTAGTGACAATCATAAAATCATATGAACCATAAGAAGTGTGCACACTTCTTATGGTTCATATGATTTTATGATTGTCACTAGTTTCAATGGTTTTATTTGTGCGTGTATATATATATATATGTGTATGTATTTTTTATAGACCTTTCGTGTTTACTTACATTATGTTGATTGCCCCTGTGACTCCTCCACCTGCACAGGGGAGTGTCCAGGACGGCCCATGTGACCTTTGGGTTTAACTAGTAGTGAGCATATAAAAGAGGGAGCAGACATTTGGTCAGTTGGCTCTGAGGAAGAGGCAAGTCCTCGAAACGCGTCAACCTTTTGGATGTCTAAACTCCCTATTGTGGACTGTTACTCAGCGCGGTGTTGATCCAGCTGTTCTTCTATGATGTGCCTTGACTATATTGTCGTTTGTGAGTACAACACCTACTTTATTTTTTATTAAACATTTTTTTATGGTAATGCACTAGGCCTGTGCGCCCTCTTTTTGTTCTTTCCCCATTCAGTATATTTGGATTCCCCCGGTCCATTTGAGGGCAGCAAGGTGTGCATGTTCCAGGACATTCTTAATGTGGTTGTAGCATCGAGTCCATCCCCAAGCGCAGGAGCATTTGTGTTTGCTGGCTGCTGTTTCTTACCTGGCTCCGGTCCCAGGCCCACGACGATCCAGTCCAGGAAGCGCGGCTGCTCCTTCATTCAGTTTGGCCGCTTGATGTTAGTGCGGCCACTTGGCTCCGCCTCCTCACCGGTGATTGGGCGCCAGAACTGTAGCTCAGGAAAGGCACACAGGCGGCCAATCACCGGCGAGGAGGCGGAGCCAAGCAGCCCCGCGAAAATCGAGTGAGGGAGCGGCCGGTAAGTGTGCAGCAGCACCATGCTGGAACACTATTTGCACTATTCCTCCCCCCCCCACTGACACCAACAATGGGGCACTATTCCTCCCCCCCCCCCACTGACACCAATAATGGGGCACTATTCCACCCCCCCACTGATACCAATGATGGGGCACTATTCCTCCCACTGATACCAATGATGGGGCACTATTCCTCCCACTGATACCAATGATGGGGCACTATTCCTCCCACTGATACCAATGATGGGGCACTATTCCTTCCACTGACTCCAATGATGGGACACTATTCCTTCCACTGACTCCAATGATGGGGCACTATTCCTCCCACTGATACCAATGATGGGGCACGATTCTTCCTACTGACACCAATGATGGGCACTATTCCTCCCACTGACTCCAATGATGGGGCACTATTCCTCCCACTGATACCAATGATGGGGCACGATTCTTCCTACTGACACCAATGATGGGACACTATTCCTCCCACTGATACCAATGATGGGGCACGATTCTTCCTACTGACACCAATGATGGGACACTATTCCTCACACACTTACACTAATGATGGGGCACCATCATTGGTGTCAGTGGGAGGAATAGTGTCCCATCATTGGTATTGTGGGAGAAATCGTGCCCCATCATTGGTGTCAGAGCAAGGAATAGCACCCCATCATTGGTGTCAGAGCAAGGAATAGCACCCCATCATTGGTGTCAGAGCAAGGAATAGCACCCCATCATTGGAATACCATACTGAAATAGCAAACCATATTGAAATCAAATCTGATGTTTTTTAATTTTTATTTGGTGTGCATTGGAAGAGGGGTAGTCTTTTTAGGGCGAGTATAGCCCACACCCTATATTTTAACAGGAAAAGTAGGGGGTCGTCTTATACGCCAGAAAATACGGTAACTTTAGAGAATCCTAGAGGGAAGTCGCAAATAAATGTAACCCATGGTTAATGTGGCTCCAAAGTGAAAAATGGGCGGACAGGCAGGATCTATAATGCAGAAGACACATGCTTTATCTCTTCTGCATTAAAGCTACTTACCTGCCTGTCTGTCCTTGTATAGTAAGCTGTACACGTGCAGCTCACTGCACAAATTCAGAAATGCCGAATCTGATGGAACTCCCACACATGCACGGGTGTGATGCTATTTCTACCTGGCTAATGACAGAAATCGAGACCCAGAAGCCATCCACCTGAAGATGTCAGCGGTGACTTCCAGGGACAGCAAAAGGAGAGTATAGTTTTGCTTTAAACTTTTTTGCCAATTCCCTCTAGTGTTCTCTAAAATTGCTACAAAGACATATTTACTATGCTCCTCAGTTCCATCTACTGCCCATAATGTGGTACTTATTGCTCAGAATCAAAAAAAAAAAATAAAAATTGGTTCAGAAGAGACAAGAGCCAGAACATAAATTTTTGCCAAAATGTTACAGATTGAATGTACATGCACTTTCGCTGGATAAATGGCTATGCAAACTTTTTATAAAAACAAAAACAAGAAACAAACACACAACAGTGCATCTCAATACCTGTACATTTTCTCATGTTTTGTCACTTCAAAAACGCTAAAAATACTGAAAAAAAAAAAAAATGGTTGATCTGCCAGAAATCCAGTGAGCTTCTAACTTTCTGCAGTGAACTGACAACTGTGCCTCAAGGCGTTCTAAGGGGTTGAGGTCAGGACTCTGTGCAGGCCAGTCAAGTTCCTCCACCCCAAACTCGCTCCTAAATGTCTTTATGGACTTTACTTTGTGCACTGGTGCGCAGTCATGTTGGAACAGGAAGGGGCCATCCCCAAACTCTTCCCACAAAGTTGGGAGCATGAAATTGTCCAAAATGTCTTGGCATGCTGACACCCTAAGAGTTCCCATCACTGGAACTAGGGGGCCAAGCCCAACCCCTGAAAAGGCAACCCCACACCATAATCCCCCCGCACCAAACTTTACACTTGGCACAAAGCAGTTAGGCAAGTACCGTTCTCCTGGCAACCACCAAACCCAGAAAAGTCCATTGGATAAACAGAGAAGCGCAATTGGTCACTCCAGAAAACAAGTCTCCACTGCTCTAAAGTCCAGTGGCGGCGTGCTTTACACCACTGCATCTGCCGCTTTGTATTGCACTTGGTGATGTGAGGCTTGGATGCAGCTGCTTGTCCATGGAAACCCATTCCATGAAGCACTCTACGCACTGTTGTGCTAATCTGAAGGCCACACCAAGTTTGGAGGTCTTTAGCTATTGACTCTGCAGACAGTTGGCGTCTTCTACGCACTGTGCGCTTCAGCATGCGCTGACCCCGCTCTGTCATGTTACGTGGCCTACCACTTGGTGGCTGAGTTTGCTGTTCCCGGATTCTTCCACTTTGTTATAATACCACTAACAGTTGAGCGTGGAATATTTAGTAGCCGGGAAATGTCACGGATGGACTTATTGCACAGGTGGACAACCTATCATGGTACCACGCTTGGAGTCACTGAGCTCCTGAGAGCGACCCATTCTTTCACAAATGTTTGTAGCAGTCTGCATGCCTAGGGGCTTGATTGTATACACCTGTGTCCATGGAGGTGATTGGAACACCTGAATCCAATGATTTGGAGGGCTGGCCCAATACTTTTGGCAATATAGCATGTATGTATAAAATGTATCTTTCCTATACAATGTATGCACCGATAAAAAAACAGAACGTTTAGCATTTATTTGACTAGCAGATGCTAACAGGTTTCACATATGCATTACAAAATGCAGTTTATGGAATACGCCGTCCTCCCCCACCTGCACAGTCGGTTCTGAGCCTGGTACAACTATCAGTAAGTACATTCCTGAGACCTCTAACACAGTCGCTCATATTTCTCTGGTTTAGCAATGAAGTGGTGAGCAAACAAAAGTCAACCCTCTCAAGAATTTAAATTTATCTCTCAACTACAAGCTACAAAAAGGTGGCTGGACTGTATCCCAGACCTAGTTAACAAAGGTTGTAGCCCATAATAGCCCATCAAAAGAGGCAAATTACTCTAAGCTTGTTTTAAATGCTCGTTTTAAATACCCATAGGCATGTATTCAATGCACCAAGAAACCTTTGTAGTCTGATAAATTCGTAAAAAGCAGAAAAAGAAAAACGGCAGTGGGGCAATGTTCTATGGAATCTTATGAAGGCGATTCCTGTGAAGATGAAGATGGTATCCTGTTTTATTTGCAACTTCTACCTTCTTGTTTTTGCTTTATGGTACAGGTCAAGACTGTACATCCAGACAAATTATGGTGAGGTGGTGCTAAAAAAAAAAAAAAAAAAAAAAAAAAAAAACAAAAAGCTTCTCACTTAAAGTGGACAGAATTGAGGTTTTCTTTTACTTACCTTGGCCCTTGCCTGCAAGGATTTTTGGAGAAACGGCTGACGTCACACTGTATCCCTGAAGAGCTAGGACCTTGATATTCCAAGCACCCCGAAAATCCAGGATGAAGCAGTGAAGAATGGTGATGTCATTCATGCCTCCGGAAGTATCACAGATCAGAAAAAGAAAACATCATCCCCAACCTCCAACATTTTTGGAGTCATGGGTGATGTCATCATGCCTTCTGGCAGAGACAGGAATTTGAAATCCCATGGGAATGCCCACTTACAATGAGATGAAATACATTATCTTGGAATTTTGAGCTTCCAGCTCTGCCTAAAAGCATGATGAGGTTTCCTGTGCCTTCCAAATGTCTTGGAAGCTGGATCCAAGGTGAATATAAAAAAAAAAAATATATATATATATATATATATATATATATATATATATATATTTATTTATAAAACGCTGTCAATTTACACAGCGCTTTACACATATATATTGAACATTCACATCAGTCCCTAACCCTCAAGGGGTGTACAATCTAAGGTCCCTAACTCACATTCATACATGCACATATTAGGGCCAATTTAGACAGGATCCAATTAACCAGTATATATTATACAATATTTATATAGCGCTAAAAAGGTTTGCTCAGCGCTGTACAGCGCCGTGGGAGTGTATCAGTTTGCCGATGGAGGAGGTGTAGATGGAGAAGAGAAGGGGCCCGAGGACAGAGCCTTAGTACCCCAACATAGAGGGGGAGGTGGCAGCATTATAGGTAATGCTGAAGGAGCGTTGGGATAGATAGGAGGAGAGCCAGGAGAGAGCGGAGTCTCTGATGCCGAGGGAGTGTAGTTTATTAAGGAGGAGGGGGTGGTCGACTGTGTTGAAGGCCACGGAAAGATCGAGGAGTAAGAGGACTGAGTAGTGGCCATTAGCTTTGGCGGTTAGCAGGTCACTAGTGATTTTGAGTAGAGTGGTTTCGGTGGAGTGTAGGGGACAGAAGCCAGACTGTAGTGGATCGAGGAGGTTGTTGTCAGTGAGGTGGGTGCTTAGGCGATTGTAGACTAAGCGCTCAAGGAGCTTGGAAGTAAATGGCAGCAGGGAGATGGGTCTAAGGTTGTTCAGGTCGGTGGGGTCCAGGGAGGGTTTTTTTGAGTATGGGGATGATGTGCGCGTGCTTTAGGGGGGAGGGGAATGCGCCAGTAGAGAGGGAGAGATTGAAGATGTGGGTGAGGGAGCGTAGGATGAAGGAGGAGGGTGACCGGAGGAGTTGTGTGGGGACAGAGTCAAGGGGGCAAGTGGTGAGGCGGGCTTCTGAGAAGACCTTAGTTACCTCCTCAGTGTTAGCAAGGCTGAAGGAGCGGAGTGTTGGGGAGGTTATAGTGTGCGGGATGTTAGGTGTGGTGGGGGGGTAGGGCGGTTGCGAGGTCAGAGGAGGGGAGAGTTGGAAGGAAGCTAGGTGGGAAGGTAGGTTGAGCATTGGCGATGTCCTTACGGATTGCATTGATCTTGTTTTGAAAGTGATTGGCAATCTCGTGGGCGGTGAGTGAGGTACTGGGTGGGGGAGAGAGAGTAGGGAGTTGAAAGTGGAGAAGAGCCAGCGAGGACAGGTGGAGAGGGTGTTGATTAGGGTTACGAAGTAGGCTTGTTTGGCGGCGTGGAGGAAGGAGGGGTAGGTGAGGAAGGCGGATTTGTAGAGGGAGAACGCTCGAGGGGATTTGGTTTTGCACCATAATCGTTCCAGCGCGAGACTGCGTCGTTTAAGATTTTTAGTGTGGTCGTTCTGCCAGGGTTGAAGCGGACCGTATGTATGAAATATACACACATACATACACACACAGGTAGATTTTAAACATGGGAATCTTCCAATTGGCATGGAAGAACCACTTTAAACAAAGTGAAGAGCAGCAGAGACAACTTAACACAGAAGGTATCCAATTGTGCTTTCCTCACAAAACAAAAAAGTAGGGTTTACTCTTCAGTCTAGGGTAGTGGGATGAGTATACACATCTTTTTTAGTCACAAACTCATGGACCCAGATATGATCAGAGACAAAAAAATTACAACAGAAGATCTGTAGATCCATAGATGGATATGAATATATTTTATGGGTTTTATCAATTGACTTAATTGGGACCTAAAGGGCATTTCAAATAAAATAATTTGTAACAAAAAAGTGCACCAACAAGGTTAGATGGACTTTAAATTTTAAAAAACATAGCCCTTCTCTCTCTTCGCCAAGACCAAGGCCAAAAACCCTGCTTGTTAGCAACTTCTTCCATCCATTTTGTTGATACTTACCCATTTCTTTTACGAACCCCATGATGAAAATATTATTGACTCTCCATTAGATAAGGTGTTGTAAAGGGGTGAAAAGGACCATTAATACAACTCTAACACAACAT